GACTTTAAAGTCAGTTAGTTTTTTGAATGCCAAGGCCCAAAGGTGAGGGGAACAGAAATCCTACAAGCGGCCCTAAGAACTGGGAAGCAATGTGGATACAGGGGATGTAGAAAACCAACTTATACCATGCTCACCTGTTCCTCCATTTTTTCTACTTCTAGGCTTTGTCTAACTCTTTCGATGCATCTTCTACCAGGCCTGTTTGTCTGCATAGAAGCAACATTTCTTTAAGTGCTGCACACAAACCTCCCTTTGAGGAACACTAAAGTCTAGGCCCCTTCTATTTTGCAATACTACCTCAGAAAGCGAAGCGAGGGACTCTTTAAGTACTTTAGGCCCTGCTGTAGCTCTCGGAGATCATTATCGTGGAAGCAAGAGAGCTGCAGTATTGCTGGTTAGAGGTGACCAGAGAGGCTATGCCTGTTCCAGCCCTGTGGCACCAAGGCCTAGGACAACTGCGAGTGTTATGGCTGATGGTCCCTCTTTTCCGTTGTGGTGCCGCGTTCCCAAAGTCTGAGCAATTCGTCAGCAGGATGTATAGTGAGTCTGGAGGAGCAAGATAACACACAATATTCCTATGCTCAAGAAACGTTGCAGTGGCCGGGCGCGTGGCTCACGACTGTAATCCTAGCACCTGGAGGCCGAGGCGGCGGATTGTCGAGGTTGGGAGTTCGAAACCATCCTGAGCAGGACCCCGTCTCTACTAAAAATAGAAAGAAATTAATTGACCAACTAAAATTAATATCAAAACTAGCCGGGCATGGTGGCACATGCCTGTAGTCCCAGCTACTTGGGAGGCTGAGGCAGGAGGATCGTTTGAGCCCAGGAGTTTGAGGTTGCTGTGAGCTAGGCTGACGCCACGGCACTCACTCTAGCCTGGCAACAAAAGTGAGACTCTGTCTCAAAAAAATAAAAAAATATATAATAAAAAAAGAAACGTTGCAGGATACATACGGGGTAAGACCGGAGGAACAAGCAAAGTAAGAGTGTCAGTGCCTGATATACTGAACAAGGTGGAGTCGACAGTAATTGACTGATACAATTATTTTCTAAGGTGCGGGGAAGCATTCTTTGGGCTACAGAAGGGCAAAGCGCTTAGGCTGTGACGTGGCTTTGAGTTCAGCCATCAATGGGTTCTTAGGCCCATCTGAGTTGGCTGGTGTCGTTAGTCAAATAATTAGTTACCAAATAGCGACAACCCTTGTAGAAGGGAGCCGGCGGAGTGCCTAACCACATTCTGATATTCGAATGTTGGCCTCGCGCATGGCCTGACAGAGGCCGTGACTAAGGTGAGAATTAGTTCGCAGAGAGGAGGCCCTCGGCAGGTAGTGTATAGGGGTGCAAACGGAAAAGGGGACACAAGGCTGGGGAGGAGGTCAGGCCTGAAGGGACCGTCGAGTCGAGTGTTGGTGTAGGTCGTGGTTAGAGTATTGCGACCGTAAGACCTCTGGAGCGCTTTTAATTTAATTGATTTTAAATTGTGACGACCAATGTCTTTTTATCTTTTTTTTGTAAAGTCACAGGTGGACGCAGCCACACAAAAATCGGTCTCCGTGTTTTACCAACGGCTGGAACAAAGAGGCTCCAGAGAAGACCTCCATGCAGAGTCTCCCCATACAGCCACAGAGAGTCTAAATTTCTCAAACCTTGCCTCAGACATGGAACGCAGTTGGTTCCAAAGGCTGTGGAGACGCCCATGACGGGATTATCGCGATGCCACGTACCAGGTGCACGCCCCCACCAGCAGTGAGGTGACTCCATCACGGGAATATTGTAGGTCCATGCCCGGGGGCACACTTCATAATCAGAAGTGCAGGCCGGGCGCTGTGGCTCACGCCTGTAATCCTAGCTCTTGGGAGGCCGAGGCGGGCGGATTGCTCAAGGTCAGGAGTTCAAAACCAGCCTGAGCAAGAGCGAGACCCCATCTCTACTATGAATAGAAAGAAATTATTGGCAACTGATATATATACTAAAAATTAGCCGGGCATCTGGTGCAATCGCCTGTAGTCCCAGCTACTCGGGAGGCTGAGGAAAGGATCACTCAAAGCCCAGAGTTGAGGTTGCTCTGTAGCTAGGCTGACCCACGGCACTCCACCTAGCCTGGACAATAAGTGAGACTCTGTCTAAAAAAAAAAAAAAAAAAACATAAATTAGGCCGGGCGCTGTGGCTCACGCCTGTAATCCTAGCTCTTGGGAGGCCGAGGCGGGCGGATTGCTCAAGGTCAGGAGTTCAAAAAACCAGAAGTGCCAGAGCTGGATGCCACCTACATAGCCCAAGACAGAGGCCTCACCTTCACATTGATCGCCCAATCTTATATTTGGGGTGCTGGTCGCGGAAGCCCATTGCGTAGCCTAAGACAGGCCCTCCACCAACTTATACAAATCTCCCTCATATTAATAAAGAGAGGGGGAGATGTTAGGAACTGAGGCCTTTGAGGGTCTTTACCTATAAATACCCTGAGCTGTCAGAAGGTGCTTAATGGCCGGTTGGATCGCAAGATATCCCAGGCTTGGCGCCAGAGGCTGTTTGTGACTGATAAACCCTCCAGGCTTGCCGCCAGAGGCTACCTGTGATTGATAAACCCTAGGATGTTTGTAACTGATTGACCCTAAACTGTTTTTGACCGATCAACCGTAACCCCCCCGCTGCCCCTCCCTACTTCTTTGTTTCTGTATGCTTATAAAACCAACGAAAAACCTAGTAAAGCAGACCTTGACAACCCTTTGCTTGGTCTCGTTCCTTTCTCTCGCCCATCTCTTTCAGGCATGGTCCCCCTTAACCCCCGAGAGTAACAGAAGGTCCCGCAGGTCGGGACACATCCACCCACCCATCCATCCACTCATCCATCTACCCATCCATTCACTCATCTATCCATCTGTCCACTCATCTATCCTTCCACCCTCAGGTTCAATAGTTCACTTAAAAAGTTACAAAACTCAGAACAGCACTGTACTTATGATTACAGTTTTATTAGAAAGATACAAATCAGGACCAGCCAAATGAAGAGACACAGGGCAAGGTCTGCTGGGAGGGCCTCAAACACAGAATTTCTGTGCCCTCATCTCTAGGAATTAGGGTGCACTACCCTCCCAGCACACTGATGTGTTCACCAACCAGGAAGCCACCCCACACTTCCATGTCCAGAGTTTTTATTGGGGTTTCATTGTGTATTGACTGAATCACTGGCCACAGGATTAAACTCAAATCTCCAGCTTCCTTCTGCATAGGTCAGGCTGATGCAAAGCCCCGCCCTCTAGTGCCAAGGCAGGCCTTCCTGGTGACCAGCCCCCATCCTGAGTCTTCTCACCTCTTAGCATAAACTCAGGTGTGGCCCAAGGGGCTCATCAATAACAAGGACTCACCTATTACTCAGGACATTTCCAGGACTGAAAGTCTTTGTCCCCCAGGAACCAGGAACAAAGGCCCCAAAACTTCCAATCCACACCTCCTCCAACTCCTATCGCAATTCAAACAAGCATAAAATTCACAGAACAGGGCCCATTGCTGGCCTGGGCTGTTTTTTATTTCATTTTTTAACTTTCTATTATAGAAATTTTCAAACATATGCAATAGCAGAAATGAGGAGCACTTACACCTCCATCTCTGTGCCCTGACTATCCGTGTGTGGCTTACTCTTCCTCCACTTCTCTCTGCGCCCTACCCTTGGGTCACCCGAGGTGAAGGCCGGACAGACATCCTATCTATCAGCCCGAGAATCCTTTACCAGCAGCTTGCTGAGGGGGCGCTGTACCACGGCAGGTCTAAATGGGCTACAGGTCTGCTGAAATTTCAACCCCTGGGAGCAGCTGGGTGGGGCGCGGGCGGCCGGGGCTCCCTGGGCAGTAGCGTTCTGTAGTGGGCACCTTGTCTGTTAACTTCAGCACGACGAACAAGGAACGCTTTCTACCTGCACTGCAATGTAGGAAGGACCGCTAAACATCGCTTTACGGCACTCAAAGCTTCTAAGGCACAACAGCCAGCCCCATTCCTGTCTATAGTTGTGATGATCTCCTTTAAGAATCAACTCTTTAAAGAAAAAAAAAAAAAGCTAAAATAGTAACAGCTCAGATATTCCTAATTAAAATCAATAGTGAGAGGGAAAATGAGGAAAAAGATTATGTATGATTATTATATATAGATCATAGATCGATTTCAGAATAATTAAAACAGGAATAATTTGCCACCCTGTCTTGAATAATACAAAGGTTTGACCCTAACCTTTGGTTGATCACGCCACAGTGACTGCGACAGTCCCTAGTACCCGGGTCTAGGATAGTATTTTATGTTTGTGCTTCCGGGGGTTTCTGGTACTTCCCCAGGATACCAGGGTTTCCCCCTCACACATGCTAGGGGGCATCTCCACCCCGATGGAATGGCAAGAGTGGTGAACAGAGTGACCCTCTCTACCTTTTCATCTTATTCTGCAAAATGAGAAGTCCGATGGATACAAAGGTCCCTCCAACTCTAGGCCTCTAGGGTCGTGCGGCAGCCCTGCACGGCTAGGTCATGTAAGGTCTCGCCACTGCAAACAGAATGGTTCAAGACAGCAAGGCGTGCTCGACTGATGACTCCAAAGTGTCTTGCACGGAGCTCAGCTTGGGTTACCTACTCGACTCTCCTGTCAACAGAGGGGCTCAAGCTTCCCTCTCCTGAGCTGCACATTTGCCAGAAGGCGCCCTGTCTGATGCGCTCATTTCTGCAGAAGAGAGCCATAGCAGGAGCCGCGGATTAATCTTTGGCATTCTATTCCTCTAAACCCAGCTGTTTCCCAAGTCTAATTGCCTTTAGACAAGGCTTTTGTTTCAGGAAATCAGTGAAGATGATTTTGACCATCTTCAAAAGCAGAGAATTACCAAAAAACCTTTCTTCCGGGTAGCGAAGGGAGAAAGCTTTTAAAGATCATATATCACCTATTGCAGGGATGTCTTCCCTGCAAAGATTCTCTCTCCCCCAAGGAACTGAAAGTTCTTGCTGGGAGAAGAGACAGATCAGGTATGCACCTGTACGTCAGGTGTGTACCTATCAGGAATACCGAGTGCTGTGAGCCTGGCTAGAGTGCCCTGGAATTCCAGCACAAGGCCTGAGATGTGTTAAATCCTCAAGTATCCATATGAAAAGGTCTGGGGCCCCTGATCTCTTTTCATATTATAAGAAGCTTGAGGGGAGTTCTCCTCTTGGCAGAGCCCAGAGCTGGACTCCATGCACTACAAGAGGTTAAATCTCTCACACTCCATCCTGACAACACCAGGCTGCAAGGAGCTTGGGGCAAGTCCAGCAATCTGTTCACTCCTGCCCCTACACGGACTGGGTTATTTTCACTGCACAGAAACACTGCAGGGAAAACAGCCACTTATCTCGTTAGCTCATTTCCTTCCTGGTCCTTAAAAGTCTTTCTGACCTCTAGCCTGGTCAGTGTGAGCATCTAGAATTGGCTGAAATGAGAACAACAGTGGGAGGGGCTCAGGCCAGCCCCAGGCCTCTGACTCACGATGCCAGGGCCAGCGCTGGGCCTGTGACCTGTGGCCAGAGATGGGCAGCACTGCAAACCCCCATGGGGTTTGCTAAAAGACCCTCTGGGCCGTAGCTAGTCCCCACAGCAGGTGACCTGGTAAGTCCCTGAGGCAGCCACATGGCCTTTGCAGCAGCAGGCTTCGGATACCTCGACTGTGCCGGCTGCAGTGGTTGGCCACTGTCATCTGTCATTCATCCAATGCCTCACCATCCAGGGGAGGGGAGGCTGCAGCTGAGGACAGCTGTCAGTAAGAAGGCAAGATGCTCTAACACGAGCATCTGTTGCTTCCGTCGACCCAGGTCACAGTCCCTCTTGCCCAGCAGAGCCCCTGGCCCCATAGTCTCGGGCATGGAAGCTCACAGCTGCAGCTAAAGCATCTTGGCCGAGATGCCTCTCATAACGCTTGGGCTCGGGAAGGACTTTCATCCAGACTGGACCTGGGTCACCTTGACCTTGAATCACAAATTCAACCTTTGAAGGTTTACCTTAAAAGGTTCACCTTAAAAGGCTCCTGTATGAAGAAACATTTTTAAACTCTCAATGGGGTGAGCACGGTGGGAAGAGAGCAGCACTATTTTCCAGGGGAAGGAGGAGGATGTGCTTCTTTAAGAAACTCTGGACTTAAAAAAGAGTTTCTTTCTCCGGGTGGAAACTGCTGTGGGCAGTTACCACGAGCAGATCATAACCAGGGAATGGAAGCCCACTACGTGGGTAGTGGGAGCTGCGTAATATTGAAATTCAATGACTTTGGTATTTGCAAAACATCTATAGAAAGTTATCAAAACTGCAATATCTGAAGACTACCCCAGAGAGCAAAGGGCAGATACTGAGTGGCCCGAGAAGGAACCTGCAATGGCTACAGATTTTCCCTAAGAGGAAGGAGGCATGACTTCCCAAAGCTCTGCCCAGCAGCCCAGAGGCTTCCCAGAGCCCTGGGGAGGAGTCCAGCCCACGCTGGGAGGCAGCAAGAGGTAGAAATGCTTCCTCGCCCACAACACAATCACCCACCCTTTCCCTGGCCCAATCCCTTCTTCTTATCCCATCTCCCCACCCTCCCACCAGCTCCCGTCCCATGCAACCCCATCCATCCTTCCAACCCTTGGGGACTCTTGGGGAAGTTCTCTGAGCAAAGTTCCACCTGCAGTATTGTTATTAGAGTCTCGGGTCTCCGCAGGCAGTCAACCCGAGTGCCCGTGGCCTGCCTAGTTGCGGGGGCAGATAGTGAGCGTGCCCCCTGCAGAGAACACCCAGAAGCCGGGGTACACGGCTTCAGTAAAGTCCACCTTGTACTTGTACAACAGGTGGACCTTGTCGGCAACAGCGAAGAAGATGACAAAGCCATGGTCACAGTTGAGAAGCACGCCGACCCGAGTGGCCTTGGTGGAGGGCAGGGTTTTCTCCACGTTGTTGTGCCAGGCAGAGATCTTGGTGTTGAACCACTCCACGCACCAGGAGGCACTGTTGCGGCCGAGCCTGCTCTCGGGGCCCTTGCGTTCCATGCTGCCGTAGCAGATGCCTACCCCACAGAAGTTGTTCTTCTGCAGCTCCACCTCCCAGTAGTGGATCCCTTTCTTGTAGCAGTGCAGGCCCAGCACCTGAGAGCAGGACGTGAACCTCTGAGGATGCGGCCGGTAGCTCTGAGGAGTGTCAGCCACAGAAGCCACGGTGTAGTTCTCTGACAGGGTCACCTTGGAGTGGGCAGTGTTGTAGTCCAGGATGACTTTTACATAATCTGAGGAAATATCACCCCAAGGAATCAATTACAGTGGGCCAAGGTGTTCTCCCTTGTAGACCTCTTATGAACTAGGATTATTTATTCACTTGTTTTATCTATCCATCTACCATCTACCCATTCATCCATCCACTTGTCCATCCATCTGTCCATCTATCCTTCTACCCACTCATCCATCCATCCATCCATCCATCCATCCATCTTTCCATCCACTCATCCATCCATCCTTCCACCCACTCATCCATCCATCCATCTTTCCATCTACTCACCCTTCTACCCACTCATTCATCCATCCATCCATCTTTCCATCCACTCATCCATCCATCCTTCTACCCACTCATCCATCCATCCATACATCCATTTATCCTTCAACCAACTCATCCATCCAGTCATCCATCCATCCACTCATTTCATCCATCCATCTGTCCATCCATCCACTCATCCATCCATCCATACATACATACATACATCCTTCCACCAACTCATCCATCTATCTATCCATCCATCCATCCTTCCATCTACTCATCCATCCTTTCCAACCAGCCAGCCATCTATCCATCTATCAGTCACCCATTGGTCTGTTCATTCATCCATCCAAAACCATTTACTGAGCACCTGATTGGTGCTGGATTCTGTACAAGACTCACAACCAGGAACCAGAGATACAAGGTGCCTGGCCTTACGGAACTCACACTCCAACAAACAAGGCAAGACCAACACTGTGAGCCCACTCTCTGCTTAAAGTGTGGGCGCAGGCTGTAGGCACCTGGAGAAGTGTGGAGGGGCGGGGAGAGCACAGAGGAGCATTTCTCAGACAGGTTGCCATTGGAGACAGGCAACAGAAGATGAGAAGAACTAGGCAGAGGAGAGAGACAAGCCACTCTAGGCAAAGGAACATGTAGGGGAAGCCACGGAGTCCCAGGATGGTGGCCATGTTCTGGGACCAGGGAAGGCTGAGTGGTGGGGAACAGCAGCAGGAGGAGGGAAACACGTTAGGGCCAGAGCGGGAAGGGCTGAGGGGTCTAGACTTTAATTGGGGGCAGCAGGGAGCCAATCAAGGTTTGTAAGCACCGCAGTGGCCCAACTGCACCTCTGCTTGGAACACTAGCACACGCTCCCCGCCGCTCCTGCCACCTTTAACCCCAGCTCCAGGAGATCTGAAGACCAAGTTCCCCCGTGTCGTTCCCACACTCAGCCTTCTCCCTAGGACACAGCGTCCCTGCGCCTCCCTCATAGGCTATCCGGGACCCACCCAGGGGAGGCCGGCTACAGGGCCGAGAGGCAGAGGGAGACAATCTCTAGCTTGGGAATCTGGGAGCCAGGAGACCTGAGTTGTCACCATTTACTACTCCCTTGCTAGGTGGCTCAGGGCATGATGCTTTTCACTGGGGCCTGAGTTTCCCCCTGGGCGAAATGAATGGTTGGGAAAATGTCCTCTCAGTTCCTAAGTTGCTACATCTTGACTTTTTCTGCTTATGGGGCTGCCACAGAGCGCAAGGCTCAGCACCACCGCCGGCCACTTGAGTGACAGCTCTCGCCCAGCACTGGTCAGGGCCTCCCCCGGGGCCCAAGGACAGCAAAGGGCTCTGGGGAGGCCCACCCTGAGAAACCAAGGTGCCCACAGAGCCTCAGTAGCTGCAGAGAAGGGAACGGCCAGAAGTGCATTTTCCAGTGGTGGGTCTGGGCCGCTGCGTGGAGGCGGGTACAAGTGGAGGGCGCTGCGGGTGAAGCTCCAGCGGCGCCCCTGAGCCTGGCCCACTTCCAGGTCGGACAGGGACGGCAGAGCTTGCAAAGGAGCCTGAGGACTGATTAGAGGAGTGGATGGAGACCTGGGGAATGTGGTGGTTCAGGGGACAAGGGGGCAGAGTGTCACAAGGTGAAGCTAAATAAAAGCTTAGAAGGTGTCCTTTGGATTTCATGGCACCACTAACCTCAGCCAGAGCTGCCTCGGTCAAGGGCAAGGACAGAGGTCAGACTGCAGGAGGGCGAGGGTTAGGTTTCCGCCTCTCACTTGGGCAGCACACTGCAACCCCTGGAGCGCTTTACAAAACACTGAGGTTCTGACCGAATTGGTCTGGGGAGCAGTCTGGGCATCAGGGACTTTACAAAGCTCCCCAAGAGCTCCAACACGCAGCCACAGCTGAGAACCACCGAGGCCGGCGCCGCAGAGCTGCATCTCCCCAGCTTTCCTCGAAAGGATCACCGGGAAATGAGTTAAACACACACCGCTTTCCACTCCCGCCGGCTTTCCACTCCCGCCGGCTTTCCACTCCTGCCGCCATGGAGTCTGATCTTGTAGGACTGGGGCAGGGCTCGGGGATTTGCATTTCAAACAAGCATTCAGGTGAAAGGGAGGCGAGATGCAAAGCTGCAGCCCGGAAAGTCTTCCTGGTTTTGTTTTTTTGTGATTTAGAGAAATTTTAAGCATGCTGCGGGTCAGGGTCGAGGGCCAAGGGACTGGCCTTGCGGAGGGGGACAGAGGTGAGGAGGAAGGGGATAGGTGCAGGGGAGGTGACAACAGAGGCTGAGGTTGTTCTTTCTGGGTTGCCCCTCTTCTCTGTGAAGCAGAGGGTGGGCGGGACAAAGAGAAACATAGAGTTAGGGTGAGTGGGAAGGCTTGGAAATGGTGGCCGTGGGGTGGCAGGAATGGGAGGACAATGGGACACCCAGTGAGGCCGTGACTGCCACCTGCTCTGCAGGGGATGCTCAGGCACAGCAGTTGGCTAGAGGCCCTGGCCCAGAGAGAGGGGTGACTCGGTCCCGGGAGAGTCCCACCGTGGGGTCGGAGCTGGCTCAGAAGAGACGAGGAAAGGCAGGTACTGAAGGGAGGGAGGATCCGGAGCCACCGAGCAGACGCCAGTGCGGGGCGTGGGCAGAGCCAAGGGCGAGGGGTGGCGAGATGGGGAGCCGGCAGGACCGAGCCAGCTCCCAAGCTACTCACACTCCAGGAGCTCGGGTCTGGACTTGGCTAGGAAGTTCCCCAGCACCGTGGCCTTGAGCAACTCTGAGGTCGCCTTTGAGTTGGTGGCTTTGGCTGCAGCTGGAAGAGGAAACAGAGCGGTTCTCAGGACAAACTCAGAGCAAGCACGCCAGTGGCCCTAGCCCACAATAACTCACCCTCCAGGCCAGCTTGTTTCAAATCCACTGACTGTTCCGGAGCTCCGAAGGTGGGAAGCTTGCTAGCCGAGGCAGGGGGCGCGGCTGGGGGTGAGGACAGAGAAAGGCGAGTTGGCAACGGGATGAGAGCGACAGGGTGGCCTCCCCTCCCTTCCAAGCCCAATGCCAAGAGCCACTTCCACAAGCATGCACCGAACGGGGCGACAGTCATCTTACCCGTCTTATTCTTTTACTCCTGCCCACACCTCAGGCCCATCTGCCATCACAGATTATAAGCGTAAAGCTCAGCCCCGTCCCAGAGCCTGGGGACTCAGGCCCACGCTGCCTGCCAGCACGCAGTGCCAGGCCCAGGCAGGCCCAGAAACAAACAGGTGCAGAAACGCATGACTTACCATGCTTCTTGGATGTCTTTTCATCTTCTGAAAAAAAAAAAAAAGTTTTCAGAATTAAGATCTTTTAAAGCACAACACAATGACGCTTTCAAAAGCCCATAATGATATTCACTGGCACGAATCTGACCCGTACAAATTAAAGGATGTTTTACCTTGAAAAATACGAGTCGCTAGTGACAGAAACCAGCAGCGGTTGCTGTGAGGGGAGGGGCGGACTAATAAAGAGCAGGAAAGAATTTTCTGGAATAAGAGAAATCCTTTACCTCAATTTGGATAATGGCAGCATGCCCGTAGGTATGCATTTGCCGGAACGGATCTAACTGCACATTTCGGAGTTACTGTAGGTGGTTTACCAGCTGTCTGGTACTCAAGTCGCTAGATTTCCCGACCCCTGGGATGACACCTTGGCATCTCCTCCCCGCCGGCCCACAGGACACTGCGTGTTCCAGATACGCCCCACCCTCTCCCGTCACCCGCCGCCTGCCCGCCAGGGTAACCCCAGGCTGTGACACCGGCGTAGGGCGTAGGGTGCAGGCCGCCCCCTCACCAGGGCTTTTGGGAGTCCCTCCACTGTGACCGTCCACCCCTCTCACCTCCTTCCCCATCTCAGCCCACTGACCTGGGGCCACTTTCAAATCAGAACAGCCTCGATCACCCCCTGAATTTAACTTTCACAGCTCCAGCTATTTTCCAGGGTGTCATTCAGTGGAGGCAGGAGGGCGTCACCTCACTGGGGGACCCCGCTGCCTGGTGGCTGGCATCGCCAGCACATCCGCACCGAGGGCGGTGTTTGTGGACTGGGACAGCCGCAGGGAGTTTTTGAGGGAAGGTGACTAGGGGAAGGATGTACATGGGCCAGCAACAACTTTTCCATCTGCTCTTTCACTTCTCTTTCATGCAAACTGCCCCTTTGACATCTTCTAGCCTAGCCGAGGGCTCTCCATCTGCACCAGGCGTCCTAGCCCCAACCCCACTCCACCCAGGACCTGGCACCACACACCTTCTGCCAAGGACAACCAGGCACTAACAGCAGGCACACAACAGCAACGAAGAACGAGCCCAGGGTCTCTCACCCCCCTGTCACCCCCTGGCGTGGGGCATTCCTGTAGTCAGGTTCGTACTGACTTTATAAGCACATTTATGGCTTATAAAGAGCTCTCACAGGCCGGAACAATGGCTCACGACTGTAATCTCAGCACTCTGGGAGGTCAAGGCGGGAGGATAGCTTGAGCCAAGAGTTCGAGACCAGCCTGAGCAAGAGCAATACTTAAAATAGAAAAATTGTCCGGTCACGGTGGTGCATGCCTGTACTCCCAACTACTCAGGAGGCTGAAGCAAGAGGATCACTGGGGCCCAGGAGTTTGAGGTTACAGTGAGCTATGATGACAGCACTGCACTACAGCCTGGGCAGCAAACTGAGACCCTGTCTCCAAAAAAAAAAAGAGCTTTCACAATCAGTGCCCCATGCGAAAGTCACTCACAATAATTCTGTGGGCTTGATATCATTATTGTCCACATTTAACAGGCCGGAAAACTGAGAACCAGCCCCCATATCAGCAGCACATGCCTTCCCAGTGAGGGCGACATCGCCCCCACGAGGGCAAAAATAGACTCTTGAGGGAAGAGGAGTAAAACACTCTTACTCTTTCTACGTGTAAAAGCACAGACTATAAACAGTTATGGGTGGTATTAAAATTTCATGGACGGGCCGGGCTAGGTGCCTATCCTAGCACTCTGGGAGGCCAAGGCGGGCAGATTGCTCAAGGTCAGGAGTTCGAAACCAGCCTGAGCAAGAGCAAGAACCCTGTCTCTACTATAAATAGAAAGAAATTAATTGGCCAACTAATATATATAGAAAAACTTAGCCGGGCATGGTGGTGCATGCCTGAAGTCCCAGCTACTCAGGAGGCCGAGGTAGCAGGATTGCTTGAGCCCAGGAGTTTGAGGCTGCTGTGAGCTAGGCTGACACCACGGCACTCACTCTAGCCTGGGCAACAACTCAAGACTCTGTCTCAAAAAATAAAAATAAAAAAATAGAAAGAAATTAATTGGACAACTAAAAATATACAGAAAATATTAGTTGGGCATGGTGGCGCATGCCTGTAGTCCCAGCTACTCGGGAGGCTGAGGCAGCAGGATCGCCTGAGCCCAGGAGCTTGAGGTTTCAGTGAGCTAGGCTGACACCACGGCACTCTAGCCCAGGCAACAGAGTGAGACACTGTCTCAAAAAAAAAAAAAAAGAAAATTCATGGATGGTGATTAGGAAAAAAATTCTAGCATGGCCCGAGGGGGAGGGGCTGAAGGGGAGGGGCGATGAAGCAGTGCTGGGAACACGTAACAGCAGGAGTGGGCCACCACCCAAAGGCTACCAGCAAGGCGTGGCCCCAGCTCGGCCAGGACCTCCTCCGGGGGCTGTGCCGAGTGCCAGAACTTGAGTGTGGTAACCTTTCTCACAAGCCAGCTTCGGGGGCTGAGTTGCCCCAGGCAGCCCAAACGTGCGATGCTGACCACTCAGTGGCATCTGTAGCCCAACTTTTCCCCAGCTGAGGCCCAGTGCCCCACCCCATGGTAACTGGGGACGCTCTGGAGTGGCTGTTGCCATGGGGACAGGGACAGGGCTACTTACTTGAGACCTTTGCAGGGCGTGAGGATTTGTGTGTGGACGCTGGGACATGCTCTCCAGAGTCACCTGTGCCAGAGAAAAGGGCTCAGTGTGCGCAGCTCCTCCCTCCAGCCCCAGAAGCCAGCTTTGCCACGGCGGGAGGGCGGCGGGCAGAGAGTCTGCATAGACAGCCCAGCCGTTCCCACACACCTTCCCCATCCAGGCAGCTAGAAACAAGGCCACAGATGGACGGACCGGTTTGGTGTGTTCCCTTTTTCCCTCTGGCTTAAAATGTAGCTGGGGTCAAGTGTGTTCTCCACCAGCACCCAGCTCTGGACCCGAGGCCTCTCACTGGGCAAGATTCCACCTTGCTCATGGGTGACGTGACCCTGAGCAAGATCGGTCACCTGGTGTGTTAGCGGAGGCTGGGTCAACCTGTGTCCCTTGCCCACTGGTTTTCCTCTCCCTCATCCTGCACACCAGCCGTGACAGCTTGCCCCCTGCGGAGCACTGCCGCAGTGGAGCTGCACCACCGCTCATTTCGGAAGCCCTCTGCAAGGCCACGCAGCTGGCCAAGCTGAATTCAAGGCCACTCCTGGATGACACAGCAGAGCCAGGCTCTGTGCCAGGCACAGGGGGAACAGCACTGAGCAAAACCCAGACACAGCCCCTGCCCTCACAGAGATCACAACCTAGCAAGGGAGACAGACAGGAAGGACAAGGAAGAGCAAACAGGACGATAAGAATCCTGGGACCAGGTGTGAGGAGTGGGAGAGGTGGCAGGGGAGGCTGGCTGGGACATGGAGTGTTTCCATGATCTTCTAAGGGTGAGAGGAGTCAACTGGTAGAGTCCAAGCCTTCTGGGCAGTGGGAAGAGCATGTGCAAAAGCCCTGTGGCAGGAAGCTTAGCGTATTTGAGGAACTGACTACAGAGCGATGCGCAGGGGAAGGGCGGGGGCACCTTGAGGCTGGAAGAGGAACAGGGCCTGACCTGGCCTGTGGGCCAGGGTCACGGGTCTGGTGTGTGCTCTAAGGGCGACGGAAAGCCCATTAACAGGGCGAAGGGGGAGAGGTCCCAGGGGATGAGATCTGCAAAGCTCTCACTGTAGGTACCAAGGGGCGTTCAGGAGACTGCCATAGTCGTGGGCACAGGTGATGGCAACAGAGAGCGAGTGGCTGTTGTTGGGACCAGTGGACTGAGTTGGAAGTTATCAAAAAAGCAAAATTTGGGAATGAACTGGTATGGGGTGAAAGAAAGAGGGTGTCAGGGAAGAATTCCAGGTTTTTCCCCAAAACTAGCCATTCCCCCACCAAACACAATGAGAGCCCACAGTCCATTCGAAACCCATCTGAGGCGGCCTCAGGATCATAGACAAAAAGAGCTGTCTGTCCAGAAAGTCCCACCATAACACCAAGCCCCCCAAATGTACTCTGTGTCAGGATGAAGCAGCTCCCCACTGCCCCCCAGATGTAGGTGGGTGTTTCAGAAGCCCTGACACTCAGGATCACACCTCCACCCCATTCCCCACCCCATTCCCCATTCCATCCAAAGCGCTGAGGGGACCCATGGGGCCAGGGCTCCACAGTGGGCAGGTGGCGCTGCTAATGGTCACCTGAGCCCGTGTGCTCCTCGTGCTTCCTCTCCTGGAGCTGCCTGAGGCAGCGCTTCAGCTCGTTCTTGAGGTCCACGGTGCTCTGGTGGACACCCTTCATCAGCTCGTGGTTCAGCTCCACCTTGGTGACGTACACTGGCTTCGTAGAGATTCCCTGCAGTTTTGACGCTTTCTGGAACAAGCCAGGGCGGTTAGCGCAGGCAGCTCCAGGGAAACCAGGGCCTGGGCTCAGTCCTCACAAACCCTGGGAGGAGCCCCCAGGCCTGGGGGCACTCGGTTCAATCGGCCCTCTCAAATCACAGGCCAGAGGTCACCAAGGGTTAAAGTGCCACTTGAAGTCATAGCAATCTGGAGCTGCAAGGGACCTCCGAGGTCATTCACCTTACAGATGCAGAAACTGAGGTCTAGATGTGACAAGTGGGCTGCCAGGAACCCTGCCAGTTAGTGGGACAGGCACGGTTGGGACAGAGGTCTCCCAAGCCCGAGGACAATGCTCTTCCCACTGGAAAAGCACAGGAAATTCAGGACCCCCTCCACCCTAAAGAACAGCTCTAATCACGTGGTCTGATGGCAGACAGGGATGCCATCAGATGTGGGATCCAGCCAGGGCAAACTAGGGTCATACAGTATCTCAGGCTCAGATGTGGACCCAGAATCCTTCTCAGAGAGCTCAAGGCAGCTGCTCCAACAAGCAGGAATGAGCATGTGGGAGCATGTGGCAGCCTCCCACCCAGGCATGATGAGCATCTATGCACAGACAGGAGAAGGTGCCCGGACACTCCTGTGCTCTCCCCACGACCTGAACATGGAACGGGGCCTCTGACACACAGTGACAGCTCACCCAATCAATGGGGCACACTGGACACCCGAGTGCCATGCACTTTACTATGCACTGGCAAGACAAACAGAAGTGAAACAAGCCCATCTGAGTCAACATCGCCCAGTGCTGTAGAAGAAGCGGTGTGACCTGCTCAGGAACACCAAGGGCAGCATAGCAGTGGGGTCCGAGGCCCTGGAAGGACACCATTCGCTAGGCAGAGAAGGTCAGGCCGCGTCTGGGGAATGGTGAGTGCCCCGCTGTGGTCAGGGCACGGGTGACGGGGTGGGTGGTAGGAGAGGAGGCCGCTGGCAAAGGCAGGGCCCAGTTACCAAGGACTTTGTGGGCCGTGCTAAAGAACATGAGGCCAGAAAGGGGGGGCGGGCTGTGTTCCAGAAAGACACTTCCGGGGTCGTTGGAGGAAAGACAGAAGAAGGTGGAGGCATGTGTGACAGGCAACAGTTTAAAGTGGCCCCCAACACCCCCCTCCACCCCCAGTGCACACGCCCTATATAACCCCTCCCTTCGAGTGCGGGCGGGACGGCAAATGTGATGGGGATACCCCTCCCGTGATGAGGTTATGTTACATGGCAAAGGGGAAGGGATATTACAGGGGTCATTAAGATCTCGGATCAGTCGATCATGAGTTCATCAAAAGGGTGATTACCCCGGGTGGGTCTGACTTAACCAGGTGAAAGCCTGAAAGCCCTTAAAAGCAGAACTGGACCTTTCTAGAAGGAGAGTCTTCTGCTGGCTTTGAAGAAGTAAGCTCTACCAAACTGAGACAGCTGGCAGGAAAGCAGGGACCTCTTAGGGCCAGGTGTAGTGCCTCACACCTGTAATCCTAGCACTCTGGGAGGCAGAGGCAGAAGGATAGCTTGAGGTCAGGAGTTTGAGACAAGCCTAAGCAAGAGCGAGACCCGGTCTCTACTAAAAACAGAAAAAATTAGCCAGGCATGGTGGCGCATGCCTATAGTCCCAGCTACTCAGGAGGCTGAGACAGGAGGATCACTTGAGCTCAGGAGTTTGAGGTTGCTGTGAGCAAGGCTGACCTGCATGTTCTTTTCCTGATGGCTAATAACATCTGGACATTTCTTTTGTGTTGCTACTTGGTCCATTATATAGCGTATCTTTTTTTGAAAGAAATGTCTCATTGGGATTCTGTCCCATTTTTTAAATCATCTAATTTGTCTATTATTCCGTTGTAGGAGTTCTTTAAATACCTCCTGTATACTACTGTCCTTCATCGAACTATGTTTTGCAAAAATTTCCTCCTATTCCGTAGGTTTGTTTTACCTTTCTTGATGGTATCCCTTTGAACATAAAGGTTTTTTTATTTATGTCAATTATCTATATTTTTCTGTTAGTTTCACTTGTGCTTTAAAATTTTAATTGCCTATCGACAGATCATGAAAAGATTTACATTGTCTTCTTCTAGGAGTTTGATTTTTTAAAAACCTCCTATCTTTAAAGTTTAGATCTATTTTGAGTTTAATTTTTGTATGTGGTGTTAGTAGGGATTCATCTCTTCTCTCTTTTGCATGTTACAATATCCATCTCCCAGCATCATTTGTTAGAAAGATACCTTTCCATTGAAGTTGTCTTTATCACTATGTTGAAAATCAAATGACCATAAATATAATGTTTATTCTGGACTCTAAATTCTATTTATTTGTTTGTTTTAAAAATATTTTTAAAGCAGTATCCTCCCACCCTCAGATTCCCCTAATAGCTGGACTACAGTACATGCCCTATTTATGCTACGGCTTTGGACCTTTAAATCTTCTATTCCATTGATCTTTGTGTCTATCCTATACTGGTACACACAGTCCTTGATACCCAGTTTTATAATATCTGTACTCCTCTTTTTTCACTTTTTTTTTTTTTTGAGACCGAGTCCGCTTGTTGACCAGGCGAGTGCCGTTGCATCAAGCCTACTCGCACTCCCAACAAACTCCTGGGCTCAGCATCCTTCTGCTCAAACCTCGCCGTCCGCGCTCCCACCAGCATGCAACCACCATGCCCGGCTAATTCTATATACCTATATTCCCACGTGGCCATTAATTCTTTCTATTTATAGTAAGGCGGGTCTTGCTCTCTGCTCCGGCTGCGTTTCGAACTCCCTGACCTCGAGCAATCCGCCCCGCTCAGCCTCCCAGAGTGCTCCAGGATTATTAGGCTGAGCCACCGCACCCCGGTCTTCTGTTTTTTTTCATTTTAAATTAAATGTTTTTTGTTGCTTTGTGTGTAGAACTTCCATTAACTTTTGTATTTGACCTTTTATCTAACCAATTAGCTAATTGTTGGCATGTTTGGCTCACTGTTTTCTTATGTAGCATTGTGGATTCCCTCTTGGTTTGATTATCTGTGAATTATGACAGCTTTTCCTTATTTCCAATCTTTTTATTTTAAATTCTTATTGCTCCTGGTTGGAGCTTCAAAAGGAATAAACATGACAGAAGAATGTTTGTCTAAAGCATGGTATCTACCATTTTTCCATTAAGTATGAACTTGCAATAAATTCTTTCTCATCGGAACACCAACACCAACCACCGCCTATCTTCTCCAGCCTAACAGATATCAACATCAAAAAAATTCCTCTTCACAATTGCCTTGAGTTTCTTTCCTGAAGGTTGAATGTTACTCAATACTTTTTCTGTATCTATTGAGATATAAAATATCCTTTAACGTTAAGAATACCCGCCTCACCACTTTTACTGGTCAGTTTTCTATGTTACAAAAAACTCAATACTTTTATTCTTAGAGTAACCCTCAACACTAGGTCCTTAATACTGAAATACCTTTTGGGTACCACCTTATTGAACAAAAAGTCTTCCCTGCCTAAAAGTATCATGTTGTTTAGCGTATCCATCTTCCATTTGTGATCATCATGACATTCTATTCCTCCTTCCTCTAAGTGTTCTTGACTAGTTTCACTGTATACATAAATATGCCCTGACCCCTCATAAAATGACTATAAGGCTACGTCCATCAAAAACATAATATTCTCGTGCCACAAGATTGAAAATACTTTTCTTGGATGTTATATTCTACCCTGATGTTTTATGATAACGACTGTCCTCTACCCCCTACAGACTACCTGGGGGTACCCTACCTCTTTGACTTTGTGAACGTGCAAACTTGCAGAAGCAACGGGTTATTCTGCTCTTCAGGTTCTTGCTCCTGTCACCCACGTTTCAGCAGTGTACGTACGCGTGATCATGCTTGCTACAGCCTCTGAACTCCTGGGCTCAACAACTCCTCCCTGCCCTCAGCCTCCCGTGAGTCAGCTTGGGACTACAGACCCATGTACTATGCCATGCCCCCGCTCTTTTCTTAAAATTCTTGTAGGGCATACCGATCATAATGCCTCACTGTGTTCGCCCCAGGCTGTCTGAGCTCGCTGGGCCTCAAGTGATTCTCTTGCCTCGGCCCTCCAGTGGCTACGGAATCGCTTACAGGCATGAGCCACGTTGTGACCAGCACAGAAGAGGGTATTGAATCATTGCATTTTAGCAACTTGTTATCTTCTGTACTATTGCCAGCTCAAAGGTTACAATGTGGCTGTAAATTATTCTATTTGTCTAAGCTTAGAGTAATAAAAATTATCTGTTACATGGGT